ACAGTGCATTTGGGGTTCGTTCCACCAGGTCAGACAATGTTAATCAAGCTTGTTACTTAGAGGTTCTGAAAAGATTGTGTAAAAAGTCCTGATTTGTGGCAGACGGGGGACTGGTTTTGCCACCATGACCAGGCACCTGCTCACGCAGCCATCTCAGTGTGCCAGTTTTTGGCAAAACCAACAGGCCTCTCTTGACCCACACACCTTCTTCACCTGATTTCGCCCTGTGAAACCTCTTTTTGTTTCTGAGAATGAAGAGGGACATGAAAGGATAGTGATTTGAGGATGTAGAAGAGGTGAAGGGAAAAAAAACGAGGGAGGTGCTGTCAGCCATCCAAACAGATGAGTTTGAAAAATGTTTCCAAGAATGGAATCACAGATTGGACCAATGTACTGAGTGTAGTGCAGAGTGCTTTGAAGGCAATTGGGTTGTTTTGTAAAAAAAAAAAATTAAATACGTAACTTTGAAAAATATATATTCCGGTTTTCTTTGGGTACCCCATGACCCCCATTCACCCTCCTGCCCTCTGACCCCCCCCATTCTCTTGCCCTTTCTCTGCTCAGCTTGCCCCATTCTCTCTGCCAACACCAGCCCCTCTCTCACTCACCCTTCCCGTATCGTATCCCTTGCCACCCAAAGGCAAACCTAGAGAAGGTGTCCCGGACGCTAGAGGACCAGGCCAATGAGTATCGCGTGAAGCTGGAAGAGACCCAGAGGTCCCTCAACGACTTCACCACCCAGCGGGCCAAGCTGCAGACTGAGAACGGTGGGTGCTCCAACCAGCCCTCTACCGGCCCCAGGCTGGGATGTGGGCTCCCCCACCGTGGCCCTCCAACCCTCCTTCCCACCTCCAGGAGAGCTGTCCCGGCAGTTGGAGGAAAAGGAGGCTCTGATCTCGCAGCTGACCCGAGGGAAGCTGTCCTACAACCAGCAGATGGAGGACCTCAAGAGGCAGCTGGAGGAAGAAGGCAAAGTACGGCCCCACGGGCACTAGGGAGATGTGGTGGGTGCTAGCTCTGGGGCACTCGCCTGAAGGCTGGAGATGCAGCGTGGAGAGCGAGCTCTGGGATAGAAAGCCCCTCTGGTCTGGGCTCTCCTACTCTCAGCGAAAGCCACGCTCATTGCCACGGAGTCGATTCTCACTGAGAGCCAGCCTTCACGACAAGGCAGAACTGCCTTAAGAATCTTGACTCTTGATGAGAGCAGAAGACCCCGTCCTCCTCTCTCTGAGCTGGCTGGTGCTTTCGAGCCGCTCACCTTGGGTTAACAGGCCAACGCCTAAGCCCCGCAGCACCAGGGCTAACTGACACCCTAAAATTCATTTAATGGTGCTTTTTTTAGTTCAAAGGGACACCTTGGGAGGCTACTTAAATTTGGTGGGGTTCCTAGCTTGGGGCTGGGTTGAAGTTCAAATAGAAGAGAGCAATCTAGAGAAATAGAGAGGGCATCCGCAGGATTCTAAGTCATCTCTCCGTGCCTTGCCCAGCCTCCATCTCCTCCCCTGTAAAGAGACAGCAATGACAACGTTGCCTGCTGCGTGCGGAGCCCAGGAGGAATGGGCACCGACCATTCTGCAAATCACTCGGTGCCTATTAGCCTTCCTTGTGGCTAGAAGCCATTAAGCCATGGCAGGGAGTCCCACCCATCTCAAGACCTGTACAAATGGTCACATGTTCGGCTGCTAACCTACTGATCGGCCGTGCACCCAGGGGTGCCCAGGAAGAAAGGGCTGGTGACCTCCTTCCCCCACAGCAGCCACTGAATGCCCTCTGCAGCACAGCTGGGCCCTGACACCCACCGTGTCCCAGGTGACTTGGCTCGCTGGCAGCTGGTCTCAGGATCAATCATCCAGCTCCACCAGGCATGTGGTGGTGGGTGAGGTGACAGGACCATGTAGGGACTAGCTAAGACACAGGCGAGGACTGGGGTTGCCTGGTGGACAGAGCTGTGTCCATCGCTGGTCCCCTCGTCCCCCCAGGCGAAGAACGCCCTGGCCCACGCGCTGCAGTCAGCCCGGCATGACTGCGACCTGCTGCGGGAGCAGTACGAGGAGGAGACGGAGGCCAAGGCGGAGCTGCAGCGCGTGCTGTCCAAGGCCAACAGTGAGGTGGCCCAGTGGAGGACCAAGTACGAGACAGACGCCATCCAGAGGACCGAGGAACTGGAGGAGGCCAAGTGAGTGCTGGTGGCACAACCCAGGCCAAGCGCCATGGTGAGAAGGGGCCGGCCAGTACACCCCCCACCCCCGCCTTGCCGGCCAGCTGCAGAGGATCAGCCCAGGGGAACCTTGGGGCCCGTTTGACAATACAGGAAGACCCTGCCCCGGGCCCACCTCCTTCTCCTCTCAGGAAAGCTTTTTGCTCGCGTTATGTTTCTCATCCGAATATAAGACGAACAAAAGGTTTGTCTGAGGGCAGAGTGCTCCCACCTGGGCAGATGCCATGGCAGGAGGAGATGGTGGGAAGCCAGAGCCCAGCTCTCCTCCAGGCCACAGCATAGCAGGGTCACGGCATACCGCCTGCAAGGCACTTTTGGGGGTTGTGGGTCCTCAACCCCACCCACCCACCCAAGAGGCTGCCTGGTGCCCGGCCTTCCTACCAAGTGTACATCTTAGTCTCCAAGGACGTTTTTCCCAAGGGCTCATGTTGCTTCTCCTTGCCTCCCACCCCCTGCCCACCTTTCCCCCCGGGCAGGAAGAAGCTGGCCCAGCGGCTGCAGGATGCCGAGGAGGCCGTGGAGGCCGTCAACGCCAAGTGCTCCTCCCTGGAGAAGACCAAGCACCGGCTGCAGAACGAGATCGAGGACCTCATGGTCGACGTGGAGCGCTCCAACGCCGCCGCCGCCGCCCTGGACAAAAAGCAAAGGAACTTCGATAAGGTGGCCGCCTGCGCAGCACCTTGGCCCGGGTGGAGGGGGGGTCCAGGGGAGGGCGCCGGGTCAGCGGGAGGCCAGAGGTGCGCTCCTTAGAGGCAGGAGGTCCAGGAACCACAGGGCAGGGTGCAGGACCTGGAGCAGCTCCCACAGGAGGGGTCCCGCGGCGGTGGGGGAGGGGCGCGGGAGCAGCGCGGTGAGTGGCCCCCAACCCCGACCCCCGGGCAGATCCTGGCTGAGTGGAAGCAGAAGTACGAGGAGTCCCAGTCCGAGCTGGAGTCCTCGCAGAAGGAGGCGCGGTCCCTGAGCACGGAGCTCTTCAAGCTCAAGAACGCCTATGAGGAGTCGCTGGAGCACCTGGAGACCTTCAAGCGGGAGAACAAGAACCTCCAGGGTGCGTCGGGGGGGCGGGGCATGGCCTCGGTGGCAGTGACCCACGTGTCGGGTGACCCAGTCCTCCTAAAGTCACCCACACGAAAAGATATGCCCAGCCAGGGGCCCTGGCAGCCCCCACTCAGGGTCCGCTCCCACCCCTACAGAGGAGATCTCAGACCTGACTGAGCAGCTGGGTGAAGGAGGGAAAAATGTCCACGAGCTGGAGAAGATCCGTAAGCAGCTGGAGGTGGAGAAGATGGAGCTGCAGTCGGCCCTGGAGGAGGCCGAGGTGAGGGTCTGACTCTGCCTGTACCTCATCTTCTCTCCCATCTCTGGCTCTTCTGTGTTCCTTTGCGGGCCCGATCCTAACTCCAAGACAAAGTTTCTTGTCCTTGAACCCAAGGCCCTCTCACCCTCTGAAGCCTCTTATCCCTGCCTTGTCCCTCTGTCCTCACCCCTCAAAGGCTCCCTTGGACAAGTCACAAGGGTACTCCGCCATGGTGGGGCCCTGTGGCTTCCAGTACCCTTGACTACCTCCAACACCAGCATCTGCACAGAGGACAGCATCACAGGCGGGTCGGAGGCTGTAAGAGCCGTTTTCCGGCGTGGTTTTTAGTTTTAGACTGGCAACCATAACCACTAATCAGAGACGTGCTCCTTAGAGGCAGGAGGTGCAGGAACCACAGTGCAGGGTGAGGAGGTAGGGGCTCTGCAGATAGTTATGAGGGGCATGGGCTCAGAGAGAAAGCAGCCCCGCGTGTGATGTCCTGGGGTGTTGGCCAGGTTCTCCATCTCAGTGCGCCCCGTGTTCACATCTGTAAAGTGGGATTCGTTGTCCATAACCCATAAAACTGCATGCACGGTCTTTATGAAGATCAAGAGAAGGAACGCAATGCGGGACTTCATGTCATTCAGCTGTCATTTGATTCAACCTCACGAACTTGGAGAAAGCCTGGAGAGTTGGGGCTTCGACTTTTCTGACTCGAGGATGAGGGACCTAGGAAACAGAGAGTTTCGAATCTGTGGTTCTGAAATTCCTCTCTCTTTTTTTTAACAATACTCCGTCTGGAGTCAGACATCCAAGCCATGTTCGGGTTGGAGGATTCTGGCAAGTGTGAAACCCAAACTTTTTCCTTGACTATGGAAGCCCAGTGAGTCAGGAAGCCCATCATGTCCTGCCTTACAATGCCTTCCAGGACCTGGGGGTGCTGGTACCACTGCACACTCTCTTCCCGGTTCTGTTCTCCAGAATACAGTGCCACAGCTGATCTCTGCCTCCCTCCCTGCCCCTGGGTCCTGACCATCTGCCCTGCACCCTTTCTCCCCTCTCCAACCTCACCCACTCCACGCAGGCCTCCCTGGAGCATGAGGAGGGCAAGATCCTCCGGGCCCAGCTGGAGTTCAACCAGATCAAGGCGGAGATCGAGAAGAAGCTGACAGAGAAGGACGAGGAGATGGAGCAGGCCAAGCGCAACCATCTGCGTGTGGTGGACTCGCTGCAGACGTCCCTGGATGCGGAGACGCGCAGCCGCAATGAGGCCCTGCGGGTGAAGAAGAAGATGGAGGGTGATCTCAACGAGATGGAGATCCAGCTCAGCCAGGCCAATAGGACGGCCTCGGAGTCTCAGAAGCACCTGAAGATCGCCCAAGCCCACCTGAAGGTAACAGAAGCTGGGTATCTCATCACAAGGGTCGGGGATGGGGTGGAGTGGAGGTGTCCAGGGAATGGTTAGGGCCAGGAAAGGGTCTTGGGCTCATGGACATAAGGGAGTAGGTGTCACCTACCTCCTGGTCTTGGAGGCCAGGGGAATGCACAACTGACCAAGTCCCAACGTCGATCCCAGATGCCCAGCCTCCCTGCCAGAGGAGCAGATGAACAAATGGGCCCCTGTCCCCTCCAAGTGACAAGGGGAGATCTGTGACGGTGGGATGGAATGAGAGGCTGTCTGGAGAGGGTAGGGTCTGGGCCTCTCCTCATGGCTCTTTCCCGATTCTCAGGACACCCAGATCCAACTGGACGATGCCGTCCGCGTCAACGATGACCTGAAGGAGAACATCGCCATTGTGGAGCGGCGCAACACCCTGCTGCAGGCCGAGCTGGAGGAGCTGCGGGCCGTGGTGGAGCAGACGGAGCGGTCCCGTAAGCTGGCCGAGCAGGAGCTCATCGAGACCAGTGAGCGGGTGCAGCTGCTGCACTCGCAGGTAAGGGCGTTGGGGCAGCCGCGTAGAACCCTGCTGAATGTCAGGTGGTGCCAGGATAGCTATGGAAACCAGATGCTCTGGGTGGGGGCGAGCAACCAGCATCCCTAATTACGTCACCTCTTGGGCCAACGCACGTGGTTAGGAGTTGTTGCCAGAACCACTCTCTTGACAAAGGGGCTCTGATGGCAAGACCGAAGAGTGTCGTGGTTGATTGGTGATGTCTGTCAAAGTCACAACCCTAGAAGTGGTGGGATGCACCCTACTATTTGATGTCCGCAATCTAGAAGAGAACCTCCCTTTGCTCTGAACCTAGGGGACTTTGGACGTTTTAAGAATGGCCGCAATCCCCTTCACCCTTAGGTGACGTTCCTCGAAACGGAGTCACTCTACATCTAGACACAGTGTCCAGAACATATCTAGCGTCACAGGGCATGAGGGCGAAACACGAGGGCAAAGCAAGGAATGGCCTGAGAAGCACGGGCTGCTGTGAAAACCCAGCCACGAAACCAAGCCACTTGCTGTGAACCCGTCCCCACCCACGGCTCTGCTCCGTGTGCGTCAGAGCAAAGCTGAGCTCCGTGGGGTTTTCAAGGCTTGATTTTTTCCAGTAGGACCGCCAGGCCTTTCTTCCAAGGCGCCTGTGGGTGGATTCGAAGAGGCAACCTTTGGGTTAGAAGCCAAGTGCTTCCCTCTTCCTGCCACCCAGGAATGCCTCAAATCAAAGCACCCGCTTGTGGGTGCATTCTGGATAGAGGCATGGGATCGGGTGAGAGCGAATACGTGGCCAATAGTTTTCTCTGCCAACGTCTAGAACACCAGCCTCATCAACCAGAAGAAGAAGATGGACGCAGACCTGTCCCAGTTGCAGACTGAGGTGGAGGAGGCCGTGCAGGAGTGCAGGAACGCCGAGGAGAAGGCCAAGAAGGCCATCACGGATGTGAGTCCCCTGGAGGAGATGCCCTGGCTGCCGCCACGGTGCCTGCTGGTCCTGGTCCAGGCGGCGAGAGTGTAAGGACTTGCCTAGACCGTGTGCGCCCTTCCCTGGCCCCCAGGCTGCCATGATGGCGGAGGAGCTGAAGAAGGAGCAGGACACCAGTGCCCACCTGGAGCGCATGAAGAAGAACATGGAGCAGACCATCAAGGACCTGCAGCACCGGCTGGACGAGGCCGAGCAGATCGCCCTCAAGGGCGGCAAGAAGCAGCTGCAGAAGCTGGAGGCCCGGGTTCGCGAGCTGGAGAATGAGCTGGAGGCCGAGCAGAAGCACAACGCGGAGTGGGTCAAGGGCATGCGGAAGAGTGAGCGCCGCATCAAGGAGCTCACCTACCAGGTGTGGGCAGGGCAGGCGCCCGGGACCGGGGCCCTATAAAGAGTGAATTGGGAATAGTTGTTCTAGCCTCCCCTTCGGGCCCACACAGAGCCTGGGCCCTGGAGAAGGACATCCAGTCCCCTACTAGGGAAGCCATCCGCCCTCCCGCCACTCTCTCCTCAAGAACTGTCTGTAGTTTATGTTTCTTTTGCATGTTCTGGTGTCTGCGGAACTTGCGTCCATGTGTTTTCTAGTGAATGGAAATCCCATGTCTACTTCCTGAAGGCTCTTCTAACCAGGCTTTTTTTAAAAAATCACTTTAAGTGTTAAACAGGAAGGCTTCAGAGTAATCCAAGGAGCCTTCCTCCCTCCCACGAGCTGAAAGGGAAAGACATCGTGTGGCACTTTAGGGATAAACGTTGAGGATAAGAACAGATGCCTCAGAGATTGTCCGGGGAGATGTTGCCACAATGGATAGCAGGTCTTGGAGAAAGAACCCTCCAGCATGTCCTAAGACCTCTGCAACCCTCAGAGCCTTTCGCCCCTGACCTCACTTTTCACAGGGGGCCCGGGAAGGAGAGATGGTGGGAGCAGGGGACAGTGACCCGTTTGACGGTTGGGTGCCCGAGCTGACGCAGACCCACCAAGGGGTCTGCATAAGCCTGGCGATGGCGTCTGAGTGGAGGAAACAGGGCAGACCGCGATTCAGAGATAGGCTGGTCACGGGAGGGTGCAGCCAGGGATCCCGGTTCCTGAATCCTGGTTCCGTACAATTCTTAGACCGAGTCCCTGAGTGGCTCCGTGTGTTCTCGCCTAGTGCTGCTACGGCATCCCTGCGTGCATTGACGGAGACCGGATTACTGCGCCTGCCCAGATAAACACAGGCTCCAACGCAGGCAGTTAGGCAAGGGGGAGACACAGCGCTTGACAATGTCCCCCTCTTCCAGCCTCCTCCTGGTTACTCCTCTAGTCACTTGGGACCCACCAGCCTTTCTTTAGCTACCTTCCTCCTCCAGGCCGGCGCTGGAACAGACCCGCTATGACATAGTGTCACCTTAGGGAATCCTGTTTGGGGTGAGCCTCACCCAGCTTTAGGAAAAAAAAGCCCTCGTTGTTTTTTTTTTAATATCCCTAAGACTCTCGCCTTGCCCCTTTGATGGACAAGTGAGGTCAGAGATGGAATCTTCCCCACCACCTCTCTGCCCTGAGCTATTGGATCGGGGGGCAACTCAAGATGTGGAGAGAAGAGTGGGGTGATGAGCAGAGGAAAGATGCTTGCTTTTGCTACTCCCACCAACTGACTTCTTGCCCACCCCCACCCCATGCCCCTCTCCTAGACGGAGGAGGACAAGAAGAACCTGCTGCGGCTGCAGGACCTGGTGGACAAGCTGCAACTGAAGGTCAAGGCCTACAAGCGCCAGGCCGAGGAGGCGGTATGTTCATTGCCCTTGCCATCCTTTCATACACAGACCGACTATGTGCAAGAACTGGTGAGCAGGTGGCCTGGACAAAGGCTCGCTGTCCCTCCTGACTCTCAGACACTTGATACACACTTGCCATGTGCCCAAGAGCCGTGTTGATCACTCAGAGTTGGCAAGGCCAATGCTCTACTGGACCCAGCCCCTGCCAGCAAAAAGTTTACAATCTATATACCTGTAAGCCCAAGAGAAGGTAGTGTGGGCACTCCTGCCAGCACGTGGCAGGTAGACACTGTGGCAGGGAGGGAAGGAGCCGGGGAGGCTCGACAGGAAGGTAGCTCTGAGCTGGGGCCTGGGAAGAGGACCTGACTAGGTCTACAGCCGTGGGGAGTCCTTGTAGGTGGGCCAAGGTGTGGCTGTGAGGCATTCATGCACCCACCTGTGCAGAGAGCCTCTGGCTGGACGGGGCAGTGAAGCTGGGCTCTGAGCGGGGCTGGCACAGCCAGCAGGGGAGCCCTCTTGAACAGTGAGTGGCCCTGGAGGGAGCACACACATGGCATGCGAGAAGCAGGTGAGGAGGGAGCCGAGACAGGAGCAGGTTACCACTGGGGAGGCTGGCTTGGGAACTCAGGTGATGGCCAGGAGCCAGGCTAGGCTAGGAGTCTGGAAACACCTGTCTTCAGTCCCCTCTTCACCTTATACTCCCACCGGGCAGGAGGAACAGGCCAACACCAACCTGTCCAAGTTCCGCAAGGTGCAGCACGAGCTGGATGAGGCGGAGGAGCGGGCGGACATCGCCGAGTCCCAGGTCAACAAGCTGCGGGCCAAGAGCCGGGACATCGGGGCCAAGGTGGGACAGCCCACCCCAGGTTTCACCTGTTGCACCCACGCACACACACTAACACATGCTGTGACGTGAGTGCCCTTCAGAGTATGCACTCTTCGCCCTATATTTGGGCAGCCCAGGGGGTCCCGCAGCCCCGGCAACCTGAGAACGTCTACAGAAAGTCCCAGCCTCCAGCCTGTAAACCACAGAGAGCTCTAGCAGGGAACCCTGAGAGCCCGAGGCCCTCATTGGGGCTCTGTAGTATTAAATAAAAAATGACGCAGAGGGAGGTGGGGTGCCAGCCCCCACTGCTAATACTCCTATTACTACTACTCGGATTCAGTAATACTACTTCTGGGTTCAGTAATGCACAATTGTACGGTTGAGATATATAAGTATTATATTAAAGTCATCGAGAGCATGAGAGATAATA